CCTCCCTGAGCCCACAATGTCTGTCTGGCCTTCCTTGAAGGCTCCGGAGGAACCGGTCCAACGGGTCTGAGCCACTGGAAACGTACGGATGGATGCCGTGAAAATGTTTTCCTAACCTTTTGCAAGTTGCAAAACAAGAAGAGTGGAACTAAAAGGCCATGAAAACAGGGTGGACCTCCCAGATCCCATGAAAAACCTGAAAACGTGTTTTCTGAAAACCTTCTTGGGAGATTATTTTGTTTTTTGGGGGTTTTTTGCTACCAAAAAAAGAAAAAGGAGACTCCTTCATTTTTGCTCCATTTCTGTTCCTCCTCCTTGCTAAAGTGCGGAAGATAAAGAGCCAAGAACATCATTTTCTCAAAGCAATCCCAAACTTACCTGGTTTATTATTAAGTAATTTTTATTAAAAGTTTCGATGTGGTGAAACTTTGAGTGAATAAATAAATAAATTTATATAGTGGCAACATGCAACTTCGAGTCGACAAATAAATGAAATAAATTCCAATTTGCAGCAGCCCTACCATGAGGGTTTCTGGGCCATATTTCTTCAGAGAAGGTTTGCCTTTACCTTCCTCTGAAGCTGAGAGAGTGTGACTTGCCCAAGGTCACCCAGAGGTTTTCATGGCTGAGAGGGGATTCGAACCCTGGTCCCCCAAAATCTCCACTCCAACACTCAAATTGCTGCACTATGCTCACTCTTCTTCTTTTGGCCAGATTTATTCGGAGGAGGTTTGCCATGCCTTCCTTTGAGGCTGAGAGAGTGGCAACCATTGAGTTTTCATGTCCAAAGAGGATTCAAAGCCTGGTCTCACAGAGTTCAATGCTCAAACCACTATAACGCATTGAATTTGCAAGATTTCTTCAAAGGAGTTTTGCCATGGCCTCCCTCTGAGGCTGAGAGAGTGTGACTTGCCCAAGGTCACCCAATGGGTTTCCAAGGCCGAGCTGGGAATCGAACCCTGGTCTCTAGAACCATAGTCCAACACCCAAATCATTATGCCATGCCGGCTCTAATGGGTTAATTGCATTTTTAAAAAATAACTTTCCAAGTTCCGAAATCGAATAAAAGTGGCAATATTTTTACGTCCCAAATAATGGCGAATTTTGTCACTTGCTGTTATTCCGACTTTGCAGCCAATGCAGTTCCTACCACGACGTTTCCAAATTCTGTTTATTGTGTATTTATCCAAAATTGCCTAACACTTTCCAATTCGTATTTCCCGATATGCAGACCTGGGATGGGCAACTCCTGGAGGGGACTGGGGCCAATTTCTGTGTCGCTCCTGGTCTCCATTTTGGGGGGCTGAGAAGAGGGATTGCAGGTGGTTTTTGGACTTCAGGCAGAAAATTGCCTGGAAAGTCATTCCAAGTTTTGCAAAGAAATAATGCAACCATTGGAAAAGTGGTTTTGTGCACCTGCAGTTTCGACCTACAAGCAGCAGGGGGCGCCCTTGCTCGCTCCATCCTTCCTTCCCATCCTAAAAGCAACTGAGGCTGATTTTAAAACTTTGCAAGAAAATTGCTTGACTTTTGCAAAAAAAGCACCTGCACCCCAGGCCTTGGTTTCTCGATGCAACTTGCATGCCTTCAAGTTGGCATGGCTTTCCAGCTTATGGCAACCCCGATGCAAACCTATCACAGGGTCTTATTTTTTGGCAAGATTTGTTCAGAGAGTTTTTGCCGAGAGAGTGTGACTTGACCAAGCTCACCCAATGGGTTTCCATGCCCGAGCGGGGATTCGAACCCTGGTCCCTAGAGTCCTAGTCCTGCATTCAAAACTACCTCGCCATGCTGGTTCCCATATTCCATTTTAATGTATAGCCTTTGTAGGCTTTTACCTATATTGTACTCATTTTAAGTTGATTCCCAGTTTTGGGAGAAAGAGGGAGAGCAAATAATCCCAACAGCAGCAAGACAGTGGAAGACGCTCCTTCGGCGCGTGGCGGAGTCCCTTTCTTTGGAGAATTATTATTATTATTATTATGCAAAAAAGAAACACATATAATTAAAAAACTATACTGTACATCATTACTGACAATTGCATAAACTATTCTGCAGTTTCTACCCCCCAGCATTGTTTTGGTTCTCTTTTTCTTCTTAAAATAAAGTCCCCCTCCCCTAGTTTGTATGCTATATCTTTAGTTTGGATTATAGTAGTAGAGTATATCATATACAAATTATCATCCTTCATTAAGTTGATGTAATATCATTGTTCAATCCACTTTTGCTTTGTTATTAGACTGGATTAGACAACAGAGAGGGTTTGGATTATTTAGACTTAACGTATTCGCAGTTATTGTTAGGAGTGTATTTGATAAGGAGTATAATCAAGGCAATTGGAAGGAAATGAGAAGTCTCTTTTTTAAAAATTGTGGGGCTGAGAATTAAAGGGGGATGTGAGTCGATTGATGGTCATTGTTGGAACGAAGTGCGGTTTTGGTTGCCATTGTTTTTGCCATATACCTTCTCGTTTTTGTATTTTTTCCCCCCCAGTTTTATTGCAAAGGCAAAACCAGAGGACATTTGGGAATTCCTCCTGGCTGGAAGGTTGAAATGGAGGACCCGTCCTGGAAAAGGAGGATGGCCCTGGCCCACATGCCCCTTGACCCCTGGAGGAGGCCTGGCCGAGGAACGTGGCTTGGCTCCCAAATGGCCCTGGGGCCACATCCCACCCCTTGAGCCCCTTGGCCTTGGTTACCTGCCTTCCCTCCTCGGGGATCTCTCTGGCCTTCTGTCTGGGCAGATGTCCGGCTCTGTCCTGGGAGGCTGCCGGAGGAGCAAAGGGCGGCCGGGGCCGGAGGGAGGGCTGCTGCCCGGCTGGAGGCCAGAGGGGCTTGGCTCCTGCCCTGTCAGCACTTGGATTCAGCTTTCCAAAGAAGGCACACACACCGGCCAAGCGCAGCCCATAAATAGCTCCCCCGGCCTCTCCCTCCGTCCATCCGTCCATCCATCCGTCCATCTCTCTCCGGCCATTCCTGCAGGCACATTCCCTGCTTCCCTTAGCCATTGTCCCCTTGGAGGAGCAGCCCTTGCAGACCGACCTTTCTTGCTCTCAAGGGATGATGCTTGTTACTCCAACTATATCAAATGGCAAGGGAGCCATCGCATTACGTCGATGTGTCTTCTTCCTTTGCGTTCTCATTGGAATCGTACTTCGCCAACTTCTAGGCTGGAGTCTATCGTGCAACCGCTCACCTCCAAATGTAGGATGTTCCAAGAGGTCTCAATGTTGTCTTACCATCTTCCATCGCGAGCCTGTTTTCCAGCGCCTTCTGCCTTTTTTCTGGTTGCATTGCTGTTGTTTTGTGCCATCAGGTTGCCTTTG